TCAAACATTTCAATGTGAGATTCAAATGGATCATAGAATGAAAAATAACCCAAGCATGAATAAAGTGGAAATGTGATGACAGTTGCATATCAACACATTCGAAGATCACTACTGACATTCGAGATACACGCAAAACTGCTATTGTTTTTTTGTAATGGTTCAGCTGAACGAGATTTGTTTCCAGAAACCATGGCGTTTATTTGATTTCAAAGGGAAGCCAAACTATATTGTTCCATTCGATGGTCAGTATGTCTTCAAATGCAAATATCCAAGTGAGTATTAAAAATACATTGGTTTCCTAGAGATATTCTCAATATTGGAAATATACAATTTTTTGGATTATTTTCATAGTTCCGTTGCTCCAAATGTTCGTCACTGGTTTATGGCAGCGCAAAAAACGAACAAGATCAGTACATTCGATATCTTACTGAATCTTCAAAGCATTTAACCACTTTTCTAAAACTGCACGGAATTTGTTTACTCGACGCGAAATGATAATGTGTTCATTGCAAGCACATTTTATCTATTTCATCCATATATTCCCAGGATTATTGAGAAATTTTAAAGGGTTTTGCCGAAAAGTTTTCTTGTAGATATGTACTTCATGAATACGAACCAGAAGAGTGAACTCAAGTTGAAGTGCAATGGAGCAACGTCGTCTTATATGAATGTTGAAACTGGTGAAACTAACGTGAAATTAATGAACTGTATCAAGGTGATATTTTATCTTGTCAATTGGGCAAACGAGAACATTGAGAAATTTAACAAAAAACTCCCCTTCCAAAACCTAAGAAATACTCTACGTTCACAAGGTTGCTAAAAAAACATGGTAATTTAAAAAGTAATATCGGAGTACTTTAACGAGCGTTTAGGCCAACGCTTTCGCTTATAGGAGAATGTTTATGATCTATGACACACCAGGAGCAAACGTATAAGCATAGAACCAGTTCGGTCATGCCATTTATCTGTGCATAAAAAATGAATCTGACAAAGTGCTTGTCCTTGCCTGGAGTTTAATTGAAGAGCATTACATCTGAATTTTAATCATTCGTAAAATCGAGCCGATGAGATGTCAGTCATTTCAGGGTGGTTCAACGACCGATCCGTTCTTCCCCAATCCGAATGTTCGTAATGTTTTCATTGCGCCTTTAGCTAAATTTGATCTGGTTTCGTTGTTATCACCTAAATCAGTGTCAGTTTTATTCACAGTTTTGTTGGAATATGCTTTGCAGATGAACATGCCGTTCGATAGATGGGAATGGCATTCAGATTCAACAGCTTCATGTGGTCTACCGAAATTAAGCGATGATGACACAAAAACTGTGTTTAGAAATGAGCTTTGTAATAACAGTATGAATGAGGCGGCTGGATGCTCGATTCGAGTCGATTGTGAGACAGGTAGATAGATCACTTAATAATAATCACTGCTTCATCGTACACATAGGCTCGTATTCAAATTCGTTTCATTTTCGATTGAAGTGCACCGAACAGTGTGTTGGTGTTGATCGAATAAAACTGCTTGAATTTATTCTTATTGCATTTTCATG